CCCCCCCCCCCTCCGACTAGACGAAAACATACGAATCAGCCATGCACTGCTCGAACCCCAAAGCAAAACGGCACTTCTTCAGCAACACGTACCATTCCCTAGATGCCCTGCCTTGAGCCAAAAAGCCTCTTGTTCAACTTCACAATCTTCCCCGACAACGCACCACATGCTTCCGGCAATCGCATGAAAATGTCTTCCTTGCGAGGGGCCCTCACAAATGCCTGATCGATATCGAAATGACACAACTCCAAGTCAAGCTCACACGCCAAAGCTGCCAACAAACGAACACTCGACGAAGCTACAGTAGAGGCATACAACTCACCAAAGTCAATGTACTCCTTCTGCATATCTCCTCTTGCAACAAGTCTAGCCTTGGCCTTCGCAGGGAAGCCGAATGTATCTACCAAACAGACTTCGTGATGCAATCGTCAATTCACTGCTACGGTCTGACAACCTTGAAAGCCTCGGCCTCAACCAGCCCAAACACCTCCCGCTTGGCCGCGTCCATGAACTGCTTGCTGTGATCGCTTTCCTTCGCCTCCCTGAATGCCTGGGGTACTCGGAGGTCCTTGGCATGGCAGCGGGGCATGTCCGGGCACAGGAGAGGTGGCTTCATCTCGCGGATTGCCGACTCGAGGTCGTCGCAAGTCCCAAGACGCGCCACGAGCCCAAGCGGAACGCCCCGCTTAGAGGGATCGACAAACCAATCACTCCCTACGAGCCCCTCCTTGCCGGTGTTCACGTGCGGTAGGCTGCCCTTGCTTTCACCCACGTCCCCACTCCAAGCGAGCTGCTCGCCTCCGTTCCCCTTCTCGCCGCCCTGCTCCAATCCTGGCCGGAGTATTGGAAAGCCGTTCATCGCTCGCGGAGCATCCAGTGAGGAGAGGAGCACGTCTTCGTTGGCTTGCGACAGCAGTCCCATCGTGATCTCGGAAGGAGGGAGAGGCGTAGTGACGGTCTCATTCGGCAGGGGTGAGAGCTGTTGCCGAGCGATGGCGCGGGCCTCCGCCCTCGTGCGTCCTTGCAGCCGAAGGTCTCCGCCCTCGCCTAGCTGTCTTGAGGCGTGGGATGTTACGGGCGTGGTGTACCCGGTGCGGTCGGTGGCGGTCTGGTGTCTTGCTTTGGCGCGGTGGCGGTGCGCGTCCCGGCGGTGATGGCTCCGCCTCGACGGATGAAGACGACCATTCCGGCAGCTGCGACGGCGGTGACGGTGGCGGCGACGGCAACGATCCTGTAGCAGCAGCAGCGGCGGCGGGCGGCGGTGGAGCGGCGGATGACGACGACGCCGGCGGTCTCGGGAGCGGCGAAGCGGCGGCACCAGGCGAAGGCGCGGGCCACGACGCTGGCCCCGGAGGCGACGACGACGATCCTGCAGCAGCAGCAGCAGCAGCAGCAGCAGCAGCAGCAGCACTACGGCACACCTTCGGCGACATCTTCCTCCTCCTCTCCCTCTCCAGCTCCAGGCGATGCTCTACCTCCAGCTGGTGACGCCCCTCTTCGTTTCTTCATGGCACGTAGTTTGTGCCCTCGAGGCAAGTCTGAGTCTGATTTTGATAAGGAGATTGGTTTTTCGATGTCTGATGTGTTCATGTCTGCTGCACCCGGTGTGTCTGAAGTGTTAGAGANACGACGACGATCCTGCAGCAGCAGCAGCAGCAGCAGCAGCAGCAGCAGCAGCACTACGGCACACCTTCGGCGACATCTTCCTCCTCCTCTCCCTCTCCAGCTCCAGGCGATGCTCTACCTCCAGCTGGTGACGCCCCTCTTCGTTTCTTCATGGCACGTAGTTTGTGCCCTCGAGGCAAGTCTGAGTCTGATTTTGATAAGGAGATTGGTTTTTCGATGTCTGATGTGTTCATGTCTGCTGCACCCGGTGTGTCTGAAGTGTTAGAGAGTCATGAAGAGAATTTCGGTGTTCCAGAGTCAGATATGCCTGCGATGCCTGATGCACCCTGTGTGCGTGGATTCCCCGAGAGTGATGAAGAATTGAATTTTTCGTAGTCTGGTGGTGTGTCTATGCCTGCTGCCCCTCGTGTGCCTGAAGTACTAGTAGCGCGTGTTACTAGGCGTCCAATCATCAAACAAGCTTTCCTGTGTCAACCTCACATGCCTAGACCTAGCGGTAGTGAGCAGTGGCAAGCTGACTCAGGAGCGAGCGCAATGATCACCCACAGTCTGGACCATAGATACGACGTGTGCCGCTTGGATTCTGATGAGCAGCATTTAGATTGGTGACTCCGCGTTGCTTAGGGTAGCTCCTGTGGGAAGTTTAGACCTGAGATTCCACCAGATCGGAGCTAATGGGAAACAAGAAGACGTTGACATCGGCGTGCCTGAAGTTAGTTATGTACCTGGATGTGGTTTCATCCTGTGTTCGCTGTGGAGTGTCTCACAAACATGAAGTCCGGATAACCCCCAACGGCACTCAACTCATGCACGGGAAACTGCGCTTTATTCGTGGCGTGTCGAGCGATTCCCTTTTTGCAACCCGTCTTCCTCAGAAATCTCTGCTTCTGTGAGAGTTGCGCGTGAGAGCTCTTTAGTGGCGTCGGCTCTTACAGCCGAGATTGTTGACCCCTGCCGAGGTTGGGCCAATGACCGCATGAGGAGTCTGTTTCCGTCTGCTTCCCACCCCGACGTGTTTGCTTGTCTGATGGATTCTGAGTACGAGCCCCCTCGTGTGACGGATGTTTCCACTGAAAACTCTGCGAGGATGATTGATGTGCGGGAGAGTGATGAGTGTGAGCGTGCAATGGCTGTTTTGGGTCCGGGTAAGACGCCCTTCAACGTCGGCAATGCACAAAAGGTCATAGATGTTAACACGTTCCACAACCGTGCTGGCCATCTGTCCGAACCCGTTTTGAGATTGTCCGCAAAGCAACACGGGATCACCCTCCCGGGCACCATGGACAGCTGCCGTTGGTGCTTGCCGGCGCGGGGGACGAGGGCGCCGGTGCCGAAGCAGGGGGGCGGGTACCGCGGCAAGGGGGCGCCGAACGAGGTGTTCCACATTGACATTTGCGGCGGCTACACGGCGACCATCGGCGGCAACCACTACATGCTCTTGGGCGTGGACGCCGCCACGGGCTGGATGGTCTGCTATGCGATGCGGCGGAACTCGGAGGCGCTGGCGGTCTTCAAGCGCATGGTCGTGGACGCCGCTCGCAAGGCCGGCACCGCGATCAAATGCATCCGCTGCGACTGCGACGCGCTCTGGACCAGCGGTAGCTTCAAGGAGTTCTGCGCCGGCATGGGGATCGCGCTCGAGTTCTCCCCTCCCGGCGTGCAGCAGTACAACGGCGTCGTCGAGAGCGCCATCCAGAGGTGCCTGAAGGTGGCCAAGGCTTCTCGCCGGGCTGCCCAAGAGCTGCTTGGCCCTGCCGGATTTTCATGCATCCGCGGGCTGAGCGTACGGGGCGATGAGCTCTGGACGGAGTCCGCAAAAGACGCCGCGCAGAAGCTGAACAAGTCTGCATCTCCATCCAACCCAAGGGGTGCGTCGCCGCAGGAGCTCTACACCGGCAAGAAAGGCCCTTTTCGCTTGATTTTCGTTTTTCCAGTACGGTTTCATGTGGGAACGGCCGGCGACCAAGATGGACGACAGAGCCGTGCCGTGTTTTTTCCTCAATGCCGGAGANNNNATCTGCAGGAAGCTTTAAGGGATGCTTCCCGGTACAGACACTCCGTTTCGCATGTCGTCCGGGATGTCTGGCCAATCCGAAGAGCGTGAGGGCTTCCTTGGCCGCGCATGGCGTTACTGCTGAACGTCGGTTACCGTCCTTATGCTCCGCGGGCGTCGTCTGTACATTCAACATGCATTCCCGGTCTCAAAATTCGAAGACTGGTAGCGAGGTTGACGATCGCCCGTTGTAGGTAGGAGAGCGATCACCCTCTCCCATGGACGGGGGTGCTAGCTCGGCCGAGAGCAAAGTTGCTTGCCACTATGTATCTACNAGCCGTGCCGTGTTTTTTCCTCAATGCCGGAGATAACCACGCAAGTTGACCGTGGCCGTAGAGCTCGCAAATGCAGCCACTGGAGCAGCAGTCGTGCCGCTGTCACCCGGTGGTTGGTGCGAAGGAAATGTGTCACAACGAACAACCCAAGGCGTGCATGTCGGCGGGAGAGATTCTCAATCTGCAGGAAGCTTTAAGGGATGCTTCCCGGTACAGACACTCCGTTTCGCATGTCGTCCGGGATGTCTGGCCAATCCGAAGAGCGTGAGGGCTTCCTTGGCCGCGCATGGCGTTACTGCTGAACGTCGGTTACCGTCCTTATGCTCCGCGGGCGTCGTCTGTACATTCAACATGCATTCCCGGTCTCAAAATTCGAAGACTGGTAGCGAGGTTGACGATCGCCCGTTGTAGGTAGGAGAGCGATCACCCTCTCCCATGGACGGGGGTGCTAGCTCGGCCGAGAGCAAAGTTGCTTGCCACTATGTATCTACCCCCTCCCCCCCAGCTCAATCCACGTGACAGGCATGTAGTGACCGATAGAGAGTGCAGCAAAGGAGGATCCTATCTAGCTGGCCATGCATGTGTAAACTTGACTAACCTTAGCGTTGTTGCTTTGTCCTTTGTCCGTGGTCTGTTAAATATGCCACATGTGCGCATCATGTGTTTGGATGCCACCTACGGTAGAGGGCTCGGTTATTCCCGTATTGCACTGAAGAGAACTGATGATTTTGCTCCCTTCTCTATCGATGGCGTGTTTCCTCGTGTGATGATGGAGAATCCGGTAGGCTTATGATGTACCGCACAAATGTGGAGGCCAGGATATTCGTATCTTCTTATACTTACACACGCACATACAAAGGGAGTGAAAAACATCCGACAGACGATAATTCATCGCTCTGCTCTGGATCTTTACTTTGTGGGTTATTCACCCCGACCTGAGTCGGGATGGATCTTTATGGTTGGTACCGAGAACCCAGGAAGGGTCTCAGCCGGCGCCCACTCGCAACCTTACCCTGGCCTTGGCTGAGTACGCTCAACCACCGCTTGACATTCCTCGTCACATTGCACCAGAGGAAAATCAGCCAGCCTTCGGTGGTAGGCATATACCACCTCGCCATTTTGGGACCTCAGCTCACACTGAGTTGAGGGTATTCATATTGGCTTCGACGAAGAGCGGTTTCTGCGTGTCTGTTCCTGTTGTTCCATTTTTCAACATGGGCAACAAGAACAAGAGAGACAACAAAGCCGGCTCGAACTCGCAGGCAGGCACGGACGCCGGTAACGGCGCTCTTAAGACCCCCTCGCACAACCCCAAACCCAGTCCTCCGCTGCAGTCTACACAGCAGTCTGTCAAGAAACCGTCCACCAACGGTAAACAGCCCCAGCGGCTTGCCACCGGTGACGCTTCTCCCAGCTCTAAAGACTACGCTGGCGCCGCCCGCAACGGAACTGGGAAGGGTGGCAGCTCCAGCAATGGAGGTGGCAGCTCCAACAGTGGTGGGGGTGACCCCAGCAACCGCTTCGCAGCACTGGGAGAAGAGAACTCACCCAGCAAGGCCACCGATGGCGGTCGCGAGGAAGGAGAGATCCCTCCGGACGACCCCACACGCGCACTGGCTGCAGACGTTCTCGCGAATCTCCAACAAGCAGCCACCACTGCTGCTCCCTCCATTCCTGCCCCTGCTGGGAACTTCTTGGCGCCCTTCATCATCTCAAGCTTAGAGCAGGCGCGTGACAACAAGGAGGAACCGGAACCTTGGATCATGCGCCTAGTCCTAGGAGCTCCCGTGCAAGACGCGACACTCACTCAGGTGAAACCACGCCGATTGGAATCTGATTTTTCTGCTTCTCGTTCCGATGACACTCCTATCGTTCAGCAAGTTGTACAACCCCAGCCGCAGCAGCAGGTAGCATCTCCGCTCCAGCAAAGCTTAGCCGGGTCACAACCGCAGCCGAATGTAGCACCTCTACCCCAGCACAGTGGAGACGTGTCACAACAGCAGCAGCAGAACAATCTAGCCATTCCCACACACGAGCAACGCACTCGCGCAACTCAAGACACTTTCAGAGCTCTCAAGGCTTCCGAGTTTCCGCCAACTCTGAAACTTGAGGGTCTCCCATCGGAAGATGTACCCGAGATCATGGCACAGTACCGCACGCACATTCGCCTCTCGCTGCCCGAAAACACCTCGGACGACATCATCGACCGTAGAGCTATTAAGAACTTACGCCTCATCACGAAAGGCGCCGCTGCGCAATCGCTTGACCTCATTCTGAGTTCTCACTTGGAATGGCGGTCGGAACAGCAGGTAGCCGCAATTCGTGCACGGGGTGAACAAGTTACCATCTCTCCTCCTCAAACCTGGAAACAATGGGTTAACGCTATGACTACTCTCTTCGCACCCGCTAACAGAATCGCACTTCTCGCACGCGAAGCCATGACTCTCCAAGCGAAACCTAACGAGTCTGTCGACCTGTTTTCTATTCGAGTCTCACGCGCATACTCTAGACTTCTCGCCGAAGCCGAACGGACTGCACCACCGAATATGTCTGCACACGAACACGCATTTGAGAAAGCACTCATTGCATCGTTTGAGAACGGTTTGCCGCCGGATATCAGGGTAGAGATGATTCGAGAAGACGCACCGCAAACGTTTATGACTTCCAAAACGCGCGCCCGCAAACACGAAGCGAACAAACTGCGCTCTGCAACGTCTCAATCAGCCGCCTCGGTATCTTCCCTCCTCGATTCCACACTACAACCGCAGCTAAAACTTCACACGGGTGAACTCGAGAATCGGGTCAACCAGCTCGAGAAACTTATCAACACGCAAGGAGACACCCACGTCTCCAGTGCAGCCCGCGGCCGTAGTAACAGTCGGGGACCAACCACCCAGAAGCGGGGTCCTTCCCAGCCCCAAATCCACCGGAACCAGAAGGCAAAGGTGGCGTTCACCCAGGACACTAAGTCCTCGGGCGGAACAGTGGATGGTGGTAGCGGTAGCAAGGGGGGTGTTGAATGCACTTACCCGGGCTGCGCAGGGAAGTCGAAACGGTTCACGCATTCACGGCAGGAGTGTAGGACCGAGAAACGTGATCTCCAGAACGGAATCAAGTACGTCTCGGTAACCTCGCAGCAGGGATAGGATGGCCCAGATAGGCACCATTCCTCGGCCTGTTTGGGAGACAAGTCTAGAAACTCGAGAGCAGTAACGAAGAGAGTAGAAGTAGACGAGAGGAATCCTGGGCACCATCCAAAACGTGTCCAGCCTCTGGTGGTAGAACAAGCAGATGAGGTAGCTCGTAACACAGTGCCCGGAATACCATCTGAGTTCACTTGCACTCGGTTTAGCAGCCAACGTTCGCAAAACACTCAGACCCGGCATACTGTTTCAGCTGACACCTCTGCCCCCACACCACGTAGCACCGAAGCAACACACGAAGCCAAGCGCAGTAAATGTTCGCGGGCCTTAGTGCCACAAGCTTTGTACGTAGCTACAGTAGCCGGCGTTGTCAAGTCGAAGCATAGATCGCGTCTCATGCCTTCCGACTTCCATAACAATGAATTTTCTGCTTTCTATACATCGGCACTTGCGGGATACCCTGAGTTCCCCTCTGTGCTTAACGCGTCTTCGAAACGCGTGCGTGTATCCGCCAGAATAAACAATCACCCCGTCGATCACATAACGATTGACACAGCGTGTGACATTCCGTGTATTTCCGCAGCATTTATGCGCCGTCACGACACGCTGAAAGACGCGGATATATTACCCGTCCCACCCGGAGTTATTAACCTGCGTAGCGCAGACAACTCTCCCCTCAAAATCAAGGGATACACTCGTTTTAAACTCACACTCGGAGACATTACGCTTCCGGTAGAGGCACTAGTGCTACCTTCGTTGGGACCCGATAACATGTTGCTCGACAACAGCATCATGGGTGCATTCGGTGGTGTGCTGGATTGGCAAGCAGAGGAATTGTCTTTCAAGACGTCTAACCTTAAAGTTAAAGCCACACACCGCAAGTTCCGCTCCCCAACGAAAACCACAGCAGACTTGGCTAACTGCTCCGTGGTAGTGCTAGACGGCGAAACAGAACCAGTGCCTGTTTACCTCAGTAAAAGGTGTACCGTCCCTGCACGACACGAGAAAGCTCTAGAAGTGTACACACACACACCACCTAATGCTGAAACGGTAACCGCGCTGATCGAACCGCGCATCATTACGTCGGCAGACATTGCAAAGCCCGACACACCAAAGGCATTCCACAGGGTTGTTGTAGCCCGCACGGTATATCATTGGTCGAACACAAAAGGTGCCACGGTTCAAGTAGCCAACCCCTCGAACCGAGTAGCATACCTACCACGCAACGCGCTCCTAGGTTACATCTCTCCCGTGAAACCTGTGCTGCCCCAAACTGTCAGCAGTACAAACGCGAATCCCGACGAAACCGCGAAACACCGAGCAGACCTACAACAAGCGCTGACAAAAGCTTTCGCGAATACCACCTTCTCTGCGGATCAACGTGAAGAAATACTACAGCTTTGCACTCGCTATCGCTCTGTTTTCTCACTGAATCCCGACGAGTTAGGTAAATGTACTATTGCAGAAGCAGACTTCCCTCTCGAACCAGGTACACGCCCCGTCAATCGAGCACCTTACCGCGCCAACCCACGCGTGCAAGAGGTCATAGACAAGTGCGTAAACGAGTTAGAAGAGGCCGGGATCGTCGAACAACGTGCGAGCCCGTGGGGTTCAGCAGTCACACTAGTAGCAAAAGCTGACGGAACACCCCGCTTCTGTGTAGATTACCGGACCACGATCAACAAACATCTCATCCGGAAATCATGGCCCATGCCGGAAATGGAGAGCCATATAGACACCGTTGCAGGTGCAAAATACATCACGGTCTGTGACATTCAGTCAGCTTTCCATCAGTTGCCTATCAACGATAGACACGAGCAAGACAAAACAGCCTTCGTAACTCGGAATGGGAAATGGGTTTTCAAACGTCTTCCCTTCGGGATCGCAAACGCACCATTTCTCTTCCAGCGAACCATGGCTCTAGCTTTTGCTCATTTCGGACCAAAGTCAGGACTTCTCGTATACATGGATGACCTAATCTGTTGTTCATCAACGTGGGAAGGACACCTAACTTTGTTGGAGAACACTTTCAAGGCCTTACAAGCAGCAGGGCTCACCTTGAAACCCTCCAAGGTACAATTCGGTCCAAAAGAGGTCAAATACCTAGGACACATCCTATCTTCCGATGGGATCCGCCTAGGAGACGATCGGATCCAAGCCATCCTCGATCTACCAACGCCGACAAATATCAAAGAACTACGGTCAGTGCTGGGCATGGTCAATTACGTACGCAAATTCATCCCTGATCTAGCTACGACCATCGCCCCTATGGTTGATCTAACAAAGAAAGAATCACTCAAGTCAATCGCGAAACTCTGGGGTCCCGAACACGATGCAGCATTCGCTAAAGTGAAGAAACTACTCACGGAAGCACCTGTCCTGCACTTCCCGGATTTTTCCAAAGAGTTTGTGATTCATGTCGACGCGTCTGAAACGGGAGCGGGAGCATTCCTAGCCCAACGTAACGGCGATGATTTAAACATCATCGCATACTTCAGCCAGCGCTTTAACAAAAGCCAACGACACTATTCCGCAACCATGAAAGAATGCTATGCTGTAGTGTTGGCAATCCAACATTGGAGGCCATATCTATGGGGTAGACACTTCACATGCGTCACTGACCACGCGGCGTTACGATACCTCTACACGATGCAAGACACTTCGAATATGCTCACACGCTGGGCAATTGCTCTGCAATCATTCGACTTCAGCGTTCAGCATAAACCGGGGAAACTCAATGTAGTACCCGACACGCTATCGCGTCTGTTCGTTTTCGAGAAAGATCAAGAACGGAACACACCGACGCTAGCACCGATTTGTCGCAACGTACCAGATGACCCGAAACTTCAAACGGCAGTACCCACCAGACCGTACCAACTAGACGCTGATCAACTACACAACGTTCGACCTGTCCACAGCGACCGGGAGTTGTTCACTGTAAGCGCAACCGAGGTGTTTCAATCTGTCAATCACGACAAGCTCCGTGAGAAACAGATGGACGAATACGGAGATTACATCAAATACATCCTCCATGAAAACGCACCTCTACCAGACAGGGAAACAGAAACGACCATGTCATACTACTCAATACAGGATGGATTACTGTTTAAGTCGTACTTGCCTGGACACCTCCGCAAACGTAGCACGTTCAGTGATCAGCTGGTATTGCCGCAAGATCTCACGGGTCTTGTAATGCACGCTTATCACGATCATGCACTTTCGGGTGGGCATCTAGCTTTCCGACCGACATACGAAAAAATTAGACAGAAATACTGGTGGCCGTCAATGCCTCGTGATATCCGCAACTGGTGTCAACAATGCCAAGCATGTCAACGCAGGAAAACACCCCACCGCCGTCCGAAACTCCCGACGGGTCACGTACCTGTCCAGCGACCGTTTGAAAGGATATCGGTTGATCTTGTTGAGTACAAAGCGCTCTCCAAATCAAACACAGGAGAATACTGTAAATACACGCTGTCAATGATGGACCATCTGACACGATTTGCAGTCCTTACACCGATCCCAAACAAATCAGCTGAAACCGTAGCGAACGTGTTAATCGAAAGGATTATCAGCATCTTTGGACCACCAGAAATGCTACATTCTGATCAAGGCACCGAATTCGAAAACAAAATCATCCACCAGCTACAAACGATCCTTGGATACCAGAAAACCCGTACAACGCCATACCGTCCTCAGGGTAATTCAGTGTCTGAACGAGTACATTCGACAATGCATGCAATGCTCTCGATGCACAATTCCATGGATCGTGATAACTGGGCGGAGCTCTTACCGATGGTTCAGTTAGCGTACAACACGTCGTTCAACAAAACCATGCATGAGACTCCGTACTTTTTGATGTTCGGTCGCCAAGCACGTTTGCCTGTAGATGTCATTCTGGGCATTCCGCACGTAGGAACTACACCAGATACCGAAACGTTCGCCAAGAACACTCGCGAAAATCTGCAGATTGCTTTTGAAATAGCAAGACAAAACTTGACTGAACGAGCCACAAAACAAGCTGCGCGAAACGAACAATTGCCGCAGTTTCCTGTGTTCAAACCAGGTCAAAAAGTGCTTCTATACAAGCCGTACCAAGACTCAGACGGACCGAATCCGAAGCTGCTTTTACCGTGGCGGGGGCCGTACACTATTTGTTCACAACTATCGCCAGTTGTGTATCGAGTAAAACGACCAAACGAGACACGCGAAGTATCCGTACATCTCGCACACTTGAAGCAGTACCACGCCAGAGACACTCCACCAGCGCCACAGTTTGACAAACTAGCTGAGTACTTCCTGGGGAAACAAATTCCCCTAGCGGCTGTGGATCAACCCACCGACGATCAACCGCGGATCGAAAGATACGTGGTCCAGAAAATCGTAAGCCACAAGAGTGGGCGTGGTCGTAAAGGTCCTCACAATTACACCTACAGATTACGCCTGAGGGGATATGGTCCTGAGTCAGACTTGATATATCGTGCAGATGAAATCCCACAATGCCGGGAAATGATTTCTGCATACAGATCAGCACACGGTTTAGATCCAGCACCCAAAATACCACAACCGCCTACACCAACCAAGAATTTGAAACGCAAACGAGACGATGTTCAACCGTCATCCATGCGAAGCAAACCTTCGGAAGGTACACGCGTTAACAAACAAAAGGTCAGACGTGCCGGTCAACAACCTCTAGTACCCACGCGAGCTACTAAGGAGAAGAGCCAACCGAGACGCACTAAACCATCCAAAGCTCAACGGAAGAGTAAAAGGACAAAGAAGGCAAACATGAGATACATATCACATGTACACAAACGGTAATAGGGGAACGTGTCCGAACACTCGGGATACTACCTCAGCATTTGTTTGGGGACAAATGCTGGCGAGGAAGAGTCAAGTGATCCAACTCTAGGTACACCATGCGTTCGAACTCCGCAGTACCAACGATGAGTCTTGACACAAACAGTTTATCTGCTGTTTACACACCGTATGCCTGAAATTTCCTGCAACAAGCTTGCGAACACCCCAGACAAGCCAACGCTTAACATTCAAAAGAGCCTAGAGCGAAAACAACTCTTGCACAACCAAGTGTTATCGCCAGCTCACAATTTGAATTCACCAAGTGGCTTCCAGGTATCGATCTGATACCTTCCGCTTGTGCTTTCGAGAGAGACACGAGGGCACATCACAGAGTCTATTTCGGCTCTGGTGTCGAACACATTGGTATGACCAATAAATTCCGGACATCTCTTGAGTATGTGAGTTCAAATGTTTGTCTTTTTACACCACCTGCCGTGTTTTTCAACACGAGGTGTAGCCATCTTCGGATGGTTGGGGAAGAAAAACAAACAGGAAAACTGTCGTTGCTGTAAAGTTAAGGAAACGATACCTACTCCACGACACAACCTTCTCATTCATCACCTGAATGAGCGCCAAAAACAATCGAAAGATAGATTTTCGGCGGAAAAAGAGGGGGGCTATGTGGAGGCCAGGATATTCGTATCTTCTTATACTTACACACGCACATACAAAGGGAGTGAAAAACATCCGACAGACGATAATTCATCGCTCTGCTCTGGATCTTTACTTTGTGGGTTATTCACCCCGACCTGAGTCGGGATGGATCTTTATGGTTGGTACCGAGAACCCAGGAAGGGTCTCAGCCGGCGCCCACTCGCAACCTTACCCTGGCCTTGGCTGAGTATGCTCAACCACCGCTTGACATTCCTCGTCACATTGCACCAGAGGAAAATCAGCCAGCCTTCGGTGGTAGGCATATACCACCTCGCCATTTTGGGACCTCAGCTCACACTGAGTTGAGGGTATTCATACAAAGTTGTTTAACTTTCATTGCCGAACTTCGTCGTGGCTACCAAGATATATATTGTCGACCCCAGCCTTCACCTCGCTCATGTTTGTCCTTGCCCAAAACTGCAAAGACACGTGACCCTCGCCGCCTGTCTTCACCCCCCCTCCCTTTCCCTCGGCGTTCAGGGTGCTCTTTCCTCGCCCATCGGTACCTCTGCTAGTTCTCCTCTCGTCGACCTTCAACCGGCGCCTGAAATGTCGCGCAGGGATGCTCTTACCTCCAGCCCGTCTCAGGCCCAACTTTAGCTCTCTGTCCACCATCGACAGGGGTGTTGACGGCCCCCTATGGAGACAGGGTGGGACGTGGTGTGTGATATTCGAAAGCAAAGCGGAGGAAGGGGTTGCAGCTCTCGTTATGTGTTGTTGCACGAGGTCTGTGCGGAACTGGTGTCGATACACGCTCTTCGTGGTGGTTGGTGATATGTTTCTGTCCGTGCTTTCTCGTGTGTAGATGTTGAAAAGCCCCAGATGTTTCGTGGATGAGCATGAGGTTTACGTGCGATCCAGCTTGTCCGTTAAATATTGGTGGCGAGGGCAACGACGTCTCTTGGTGTGCTTGCGTTGCTTCAATCAGCCAGTAGTGAGGGTGGTTGAAATATTCACTCACCTGCAACGCTTCCTCTCCGATGAGCATAGGGGACGCGAAATGGAGAGAAGTGAATGAACTGCGAGCAAATGGATATATGCAAACCGTGCGGTTGGCGTTCGGTATGCAACCAAACTTCACTTCGAGGAACTGAATTCCCTTACCCGAGCCCTTTACATTACTACACTACACAGTACCGGGCGTTAAACATTATGCGTTATACGCTGCTGCCAAAGGTGCCCTCTCCATCCTTTGTTTCGAAGGCCAGAGACCCACGTTAATTTCAGGGTGCACCTCGGTACCGTTTTTTAGGCGGATACAGGCGGGGCGGTGCTTCAATGTGGCGGTACTCTTTTCGGCGGAGCCCGGTACTTCGTTTTCCGGCGGTACTGCCTTTGGCGGTTCCCCGTAGTGCCAAATATGGCGGTACCGCCTTCGGCGGTTCCCGGTACTGCCAAATATGGCGCTTTTTTTCGGGCGGTACTTTATTATGGCGGCACCGCCTTCGGCGGTCCCGGTACCACCAAAATATGGCGGTTTTCACCTGGCGGTTTTCACCTGGCGGTAGTGAAATATGGCGGCATCACCTCCGGCGGTCGCGAGAAGACCAAAATATCAAACAAAATAAAAAATGTGGCGATGCCAAACTACATTCAAACAAGGTTTTCGTGTGATTGAGAGGGAAGTTTCTGATTGAGAGCGAGATTGCGCGATGCGCTGTAGCTGGACTACCGCTGAGAGGTGGAGCTTGCTGCGTGGCTTGAATTGAAGGCCTAGCCCGTAGCTACAAGCCGATACCCTGGTCATCCTGTGGGCGTCTCTCGTTGTGGAGCTACAGCGGGGAGCAGAATCTACAGCAGAGCTCACCGCCCGCGATCAAATCGCCCTGAAACAGTTTGAGGCAGGAATAGCCAATCTGGGCAAATCTAGCAACTTGTCTAGCTCCTAGCTGCAGCATCCGATCGCGATGGCACGCATATGCTCGTGACGCTGCTGATGAGACCTTCAATTTGCGCCGCTTCTTGGGAGAGCCCGCCCCCTACTTCCCAAGAAATGGCAAGAGGCGTCTGGACCCGAAAGTTCAATTTTTTTGGCTCCCGCTCTCAATCGTATACTCGGCTCTCAATCAGGCGAAAACCCTGTTATTCGGTGCCCTTGGGCGCCCCATCAACCGGCGAGCCTCTTTTCTCTCTTGCGACGTGGGTGCCTACGCAGGATTTTAAGAGTATCTAGAGAAACAATAGGGAGGGGGTACGCAGACCCTATCCCTAACCCTAACCCCAACCCTGACCCTATAGAACCGATTGGATAGTTGATCCCACATGTTTGCTTCATCAATTTTGCTCCGTAGACTACACGGGAGGAGTGAAAATGTTCTCCCGTGTCCCCCTACAGACTGAAACAACGATACACTGCTACACACACGAAAACCTGATACGTCTGGGTATATTGATGAAACATAAATAAATATAAATACGAAAGAGAAAAATGAAAAAAGGTGAATTAAGGTGAAAAAAGGTGAAAAAAAGGTACGGCAGCAGGAACTCCACTACACTGCGTATCTCCCAGGTGCGACGGGAACATCTCACGAGTCGGGCAACATAGCGGTACTGTTACGGCGGTACTGTAATATGGCGGTGCTATTTTGGCGTTATTGCAGTAGTACGGCGGTACTATTACGGCGGTACTGAAGTATGGCGGTACTATTATTATGGCATCCTTCAGTACGGCGGTACTTGTCCGGCGGTTCAGCAATATGGCGGTTGTTTATAGGCGGTTCCCGGTACTTCTTTTTTTGGCGGTGCTTTTTAGGCGGTCACGCAATATGGCGGTACTTTTTATGCGGCTCCCGGTACTTGGTTTTTCGGCGGTACCATCGTCGGCGGTTCCCGGTACCATCGAAAAAGTGGCGGTAATTACCTCCAGTAGTACCGGGACCGCCCACCA